ACATCATCTCAGGGGAGGAAAATGCCTTTCCCTGAGATTACAGATGAGATTTCCCAGCAATGCTATAATGATGTAACCTTCCCAGGACGCAACGCTTTGGCACTTACATCATTTGTGCCAGAACTGGACAAGGAAGTGAAAAACTATTTGTAAGTAAATGAAAACTGTGATTTTTAGTGAAAGGGGGTAAAGGTCCACTTTAAGCTCTGTAGACAATACAGTGTGGTACTGCACTACAAGAATATTGCAAGTTATGTTTTGAAAAATGCTTTGCCTACCTTTGGCAATTGTTATGAGCTTCAGAAATGTAGCTGTATTCAAAGTGCAAACCTTCTGGTTTTAGATCTGCTCACTCTAATACTTCAGCTGCTCAATTCTAGCCTATTAGTGCTTGATGAAAAAAAAAATACCTAAAAACCCTTTTTTAAAGTTATTCAGATAAGGGTCCTGTCAAGCAATAATGTAAAAAATAAAAAAGGAATTACACATATAAATGATGAGATGCCAGAATGTGGTATTGCTGATGCTGTCCTGGTAACATATAGCTTAAAAAGTGCCTGTTTTACACAAAGAAAAACCATTTATGCCTGTGATGGGTAATTCTAAGCTTGAAGGGAAAGGAAAACAGGGAGGAGGGTAGATAGAGGAGAAGCAATAGAAGAACACTTCCTTATAAACTTCCTCTATCAGTTGGCAAAACCCCAAATACATTGTAAGTATTTTAAATCATGAGCCTCTATTAACTTGATGACAGTCTGAACTTTGTCAGGAAAGACTCACCACAATTCAGTGGTCAATTTTCAAATATTAGTCATTACAGTAATACGAGAGAAGAGTATATAGGAAACTGAGTGCACTGCTTATTTCAGAGAATACAAAAATCGTATGTATTTTATAAATAGCACAGGTAGAAACAATGTTAAAACACACCTTGGCGTCAAAATATCAACACCATATACCACCAAGCGTAAGGATTTAAACAACTTTGACAAGAGACAAATTATGATGGCTAGGCAAGTGGATCAGAGCAACTGCAAAACTGCAGATTTGTGAGGACCTACCGAAAGTAGTCCAAGGAAGGAAAATTGGTAAACCGACGACAGAATCATGGATGGCCAAGGCTCATCAATGCACATGGAGATCTAAAGCTGGCCTGTGTAGTTCGAACCAAAAGAAGAGCTATTGTAGCTCAAATTATCAGAACTCAAGCATGGATCAATGGTGGCCTGGTCTTATGGTCACATTTTCTTTTCATCATATGGATGGCCAGGGTCATGTGTAACTTGTGTACCTGAAGAAGAGATAGCACCAGAATGCACTATGGGAAGAAGGCAAGCCGGCAGAGACAGTGTGATGCTTTGGGAAATATTCTGCTGGGAAACCTTGAGTCCTGCCATTCATGTAAATGTTACTTTGACACCAAATTCTTCAGATCTGAATCCAATCGAACATCTGTGGCATGTGCTGGAAAAACAAGTCCGATCCATGGAGACTCCACCTCGCAACTTACAGGATTTAAAGGATCTGCTACCGACGGCTTGGTGCCAGATATCACAGCATACCTTCAGAGATCTAGTGGAGTTCATAGCTTGATAGGTCAAGGCTGTTTTGGTGTCAAAAGGGGATCCTACTCAATATTATGCAGCTGATCATAATGTTATGGCTGATTGGTGTGTTCATAGCATTAGTTTCACTGCAGGCTAGTAGTGGCCAAAAAAGTCCCTGTCTGGCAGCGCAGGATACCTGATTTTTATCTGCTGCAGTTTAACCAGTTGCCGTCCGCCCGTTGTAAATAAACGGACGGACGGCACTGCTGCATTGGTGGGTTGCCAGCAATTTTTTTCTGCTCGCGCGTGCCCCCTAGCGGGCACGCACGGGCAGATAAGACCTGTGCAATGCAAACACCCGTTACCGGGTGTTTCACATATAGATGATCGGCGGCTCTATAGCCTGCCGATCGTCTATATGTGCTCCTTTTTTCAACCTTCCCCCCTATGCTGCCGCCGCTTTTTGGTCCGCGGTCTGCTGCCGCCCCCCTCCCCCTCCTGACCCCTCACCTTCAATCCCGGGATCCGCTGCCCCATCGGCGGCCCGGGACCGGCTCGTGAGAGCAGCGCTGAATACTGAAAAATGGCCTGGATGGGAGGGGGTTTAACACCGCGGATGTCAACTGGTTAAGAACACTTACAGATCGTGTCCCTCCCCCATCCTTTCAGTGAAAGGAGAAGTACCAGACTGGTCTCACTGCCACTCTGCTCTCTCCTCCTATCTAGATGTTCCTTGTTTGGACATCAACACAATTTATTGGCTCATTTTGCTGCTTCTCCCTTTCCCAGTCTCAGCTCTGCTGTACAGGGGTCTGCCGGAGGCTGGTACAAAGTCAAAATCAGCTAATCACATTGCTTGATATATTATAATTACATAGCTGACTGTATTAATATTTGTGTATTTTTATGGTCCAGTGTTATTTGTCTTTGTATGGCCTTGCTAACATTTCCATAAAAATTCACTTCTCAGGTCCCAGTACAGTAACAATTTTTTAATGATCACTTACTGGTGCTTTTTTCAATTTGTCCCCCTGTTGCTAAGCAATTTGCTCTACCTTTCATTCAAACCTTCAACAAATCTTGGTGAGTCATATGCTTCTTATTCCTATGTTGTGTGGTTTCTCACTTTCCCCTACTCTGACATCAGGGCACCTCCTACTTGCAGCGGAGTTTGCAAAGCCACATATACTAACACTTTGAATAGATAAGGGTATGACTATGTTGCAAGATGTGTCCACTATCACTATTAAAAAACATCAACTTATTTTGGCCTTTTACAAGAACACACATTCTAGAGCAAAAGGAAATTATATAACTGACATAATTCTTTCAGAGACCTTTAGAACATGAAAGCTATTTTAAGTAATCTGTGTGATACACAACCACTATTGAAGATTAAAACTAATTTTGTATCAGAGCTTCCACATTTGTAAAGGAAACAGAAAACACACCGGGTGTGTTCTGCAGCCGTAAATTGAATATGTCAATAAATGTATTTTTAAAAATGCAACCATTCTAATTTGACTTGGTTTCCATGTTTTACAATCCCCTGTACAGCATAGCCCAGATTGATAAAGAGAGAAGCAGCACAAGATGCCACTCAGTTGTGCTGCAGCCCTCATGCGCTAACAAGTGATATGCTGATAGCAAGATTCTCTTAAACTCTGCCCAAGACCAAGTGTGATGAATCTGCTTCTCCTGTTCTATGGAGAAAAGGCTAATAATTGGTGATCAACAATTTGCAGCAAGTT